CATCAACAACACAATTGCTTCTCTAAATTTAATTATGAATAGCACAATCTACATGTTCAAGAGCATCCCCACTGAAGATTAAGTCAGTTCCCTCAGTTGCCAAAGTGATTTGAGACAGAGTTTGGGCCATAAAAAGTAGACTTCTTGTACCTTTATATCCTCTTCTTTGGACATTTTTATTTCACAAAACTCTGTGAACCTTTGGTTACCTTTTATTTTTAGTTTTTTTTTATTTTAAACATTGACCTCTCCACCATTTCATCAGTATTGCCTATCTTTTACTTTCCTCTGCAAGACTGGGTGGAGGGCGGGGGGGGTGGTCAAAAAATTTTCTATGATGTATGGGTGATGTTAAAAAATTTTGCCCTTTTAAAAAATATCCTCTGTGCCCCCCACCTGCCCCCTGCAGTATACATAATGAATGCTGCCTTATGTTGTCGACCTTTGTATCAGTTGTACTCTGGAAGATACACGTAACATAAAATTTTTCAAATTGGTAATACAAGTACCCTTTGCCTGTCACTCAGAATCCATCTTTTGGTAGAAGCACTTATTAGTACAATTTACAGGTACCTTTAAATTTAAATGTTCATGTGAAAAGAATTCTCTTTCTTGTCCATCAGAAAGCAATAACAAGCATGGTAGACTGAGAGAGGGTTACATGGGCGAACAGTGTTGGATGCTAGATGGGAACACATTAACCAGCAGAATCACATGACATACACCCACATGTAGTACAATCAAGGCAACTGGATAATGGAGAGGACAGACTCGAGGGGAAACAAGACAGCTGGCTGGGCAATGGAGAGGGCAAACTAGAGCTGGCTGGATGACATCACCTAGTACAAGAACCTTGTTTAGAAGAGAATAGAGAGGATGGATTTAAGAGGGCAAGTGATATGAGACATCATGTGTACCAGGTCAAGAGTTGGGCTGTGCATTGTGGAGAGTCTTGCAGCATCTGGTTTGTATTGCATGATATTTTAATTGACTAGAAATGGTGTAATTACTATTTTAAAGCATCTTAGTTTAATATTATCTTACTCTCTAAATAATAGCAATAATAATAACATAGAAAACCTGACGATAAAAAGTAAGTCAAAAGTTTTGGCCCTGCCCGGGAGGCCTGAATGTGGGGTACAGCTGGTCTGGGGTTTTCCTCTTAGGAGCAAGTGGACGTATGGGGAGGTTTTTCACCCAGCTGTTGTTCCACAACCCCCATTCACACAACGTTTTCTTAGACATAAGAATAGAACTTAAAATATTATATATCACATAAGAATTAATACACAACAATCATTTAATACCCAGTTGTTATATGACTGAAAGAACTTCCTTATAATAGCTGTGTTCTTTTTGGAAAACAATTGCAACCTTCAGAAATTACTTTTAAGTATTGTACGGGTTCCAGAAAATAGTCTATTTGCCGAAATTAAATATTTACTTTTTATCAGGGAAGATTGATTTTCACTGGTCTCTTAATAAGGACAGGTGGAGTCAGTTCGAAAATCTTTTACATTTTATATGCATCTAGACACTTTTTCAGTCATGTGACAAACTGAAATTAATTCATTAATATTATTATCTTAAAGTTAAATTCCACATTATTTTTTAGTACATTGTTGTTAAATAATTCCAGTGTGTGTGCCACCATTGCACAAACAGAGGCCTTTGAGAAGTGTTATTTATCAGCATTACATTTACTTGTAGGGTTTGTTTTATTGGATGAATCAGTTATTCTGTCAAGGAATGTTAAGTTGTGGTCTTCAGTTTAAAAATTGCTCCCTGGCACTTTTTTGTTCAACCAGTTAATTAGAAGTTAACATTTTCACTACAGGATTCCATTAAGCAGTGGTTTTGTTTGTCAAAGAAACCAGCCAACATTTTGAGATGCCATGAAACATCATCTGAGTAAGGAGTGCAGAAATTCTATACTGATGAAATATCACTTACTCAGATTTGGGAAGTACTTCTCTTTGTTTGAGGCAAATTTACCTCACGACTCAACCAATCAGATACACAACCTAGGTGATAGGTGACATTAGTATGAAATTTCTATGTTTGTTCCACAGACATTATTTTATGGGTAATTCAGTCATGGCATCACACCAGTCATCGCTTTCTACAGTGGGAGTCAAACAATGTTAAGTTTACAGAAGGTCACATTTGAAGCACAGGTTGTAGTTTTTTATCAGTTTGATGATCAAATCAGTGTGACAATTGATGTGGCCACTTTTAAAGTTGCTGCTTGCAGGTTACCATGGATACCTCCTTATGCCTTCCTTGATAGCTAAAGGTTCCTACCACCAGTTTTCTTTGCACCAGTTTCCAAGCTCGTCATGGTGAACTGGATAAGTGAGCTAGCTGATGGCTTGTATAAGATGTTATGTTTTTTTTTTCTCTGAAATATCTTGCCTTTCACTTGAAATTTCAGTAGGAGGGTGTAGGTCTTTGTGAGAGAGTATTCCCTGACATGAACATAAGCTACATAAGTTATATATCAAATAGAGCTATATATGAAGTAGAGAAACATTTTGTGCATTCTGGAACCGGGGTCGGATAGGATATGCCATTTTATCATTCCACTTTTAAAGACAATTAACGTTCATACCTGAAGTAGGGTAGGGAAAATCACATAATGTGGTCTGAAAATACAAAAATGGTTTCCAGGACTCTTGCTGGACAGTAATATATTGTAATCCAATCATAAACTATAGTTGCTATCTTGCTTCAATACATCCAGGTTACAATTATTTTGTTTTTCATAAAATGTTAGTCAAATTACTAGCAACTTTTTAAAAATATATTTTAACACACCAGTCTCCACCCATTTAAATTTGGGACTTAAATGAATTCAATTTTGGCTGAAAACAGGTAACCTTAGTTTTAAATTGCTCTTTGGAATCTTGTTTAACATCACTGGGCTTGCTAGGTGGGAACATATCCCTTGGTCATTAATTTGTTTTTATTTTTTGAATGATTATTATTGCTAAATAATTACTGATAGTACTAGTATAGGAGTCAACACCTCGCCACCAAAATTTCATGGACGGACAGGTATCTTCTGCCCTTCCCAGGTTAAGAGCAAAGTTTATTTAGACAAGTAATCTGCGAAAAATTGGTGTCAGATTTGAGTAGGCAAATTGATCGTTAAGTGGGGTTGTTCTTAAATTAATAAGCAAAGGAAGCAGTTAAAAACTGAAAACTCATAAAATTTGATGAAAACCTCATTTGTTTATACTATCTAGGGGCAAAAAAATATTGATCAGAGAATTTCAATCTCAAACTTAAGCACTGAAACACAAATAATTATTAATATCATAGTTTGCATACATTTCAGCCTGCAGGTACTGTACCCTGGGAAAATTCAGGAAATCATATTTAACTTTGAAATTTTTTGCCTCCAAAATTTCAACAGTTGGCAATATTGCTTCCTTTGCATTTTAACTATTTTTGTTATTATTACCATTTGTCATTAGACCATTTGCAGAATTGTTTCATATAACTGCAAACTACCAGGTTTCTGAAGTAATTCAAGGATTATGAAGACCATGATTCTTTTAATTTCTATGGGATCTTTGCATTTAAAT